CGGGGGGCCAGGTGCCCCGCGTGGGATGCCCGCCGAGCCGCCAGCGTGGAGTCGGACGGCGGCCCGGGCAAGCCGGCGCCCGCGCGGCCACACGCCCCGCTGTGGCTCCTTTCAGGTAAACGGCTGTCCTCGACGCCCCTGGAAGTCCTGTTCTTCCTGAATGGCTGGTATTGCGCGACCTACTTCCTGCTGGAACTCTTCCTGTTCCTGTATAAAGGTGAGGCCGGGCGAGACCGTCGGGCCGGGGAAGCAGCCCCGCGGCGGCCGCGCGCCGCGCGCCTCCGGGACCCCACGAGTGGAGGCCACAGTGGAGGCCACGAGTGGAGGCCACAGTGGAGGCCACGAGTGGAGGCCCGGGCTCCCGCGGAGCGCCGGCCGCGCCTCGGCCCCTCGGCCCTGCGTGCGCTGCAGCTCCGCCCTGCGCCCTGCTAGGTCTCCTGCTGCCCTACCCAGCGGCCAACCTGGTCCTGGACGTGGTGATGCTCCTGCTGTACCTTGGAATTGAAGTAGTCCGATTGTTCTTTGGTGAGTGTCATCCAGAGAACGTGTCCACGGCCCAGCGGGCTGTGACCCGATGAGCAGGACACAGTGCGCGGCCGGGCTCGCCAGTGAGCTCGGTCAGGCAGGTGTCACGGCCCCCGGCGGAGGTTTCAGCCTGCTGCTCAGAGTTGTGGGCCAGTGTTGCTCGGCAGCGCGGGGGTTCCTAGTTCTTTCTCAAGGCGCCTCGCCAGATCAGAGCCTGGTTCCTCTTGCTGCTCAACTGGGAGAACAGTGTCTGGGGTGACCCTGTGAGGGCAGAACACGCCCGCCCAGCAGGGACATCCCCTCCACCTCTGAGGCTCTCTCTAGCACCGAAGAGAAGTAGCCACACCCTTTGCGGCTAGAATACTGCGTCCTTGAAAGTGGTGCGAAAGTACAAGAAGCACAAACTTGCAGTGCACACAAAAAACGAAGACTCGCATAAATCACCGAAGGAACAGCATTCGGGAGGCCGAGGCAGGAGGACCATTGTGAATTCGAGACCAGCCTGAGCTGCGTAGTGAGACCCTGTGCCAAAAAATTAAAAAAAGGGGGGCCGGGAGATGGCTCAGTACAATAAGCGCTTCCCTGCAAGCGCAAGGGCCTGAGTTCAATCCCCAGTTCCACTAAATAAATAAATAAATAAATAAAATAAATAAATAACATCACCTAAGGAAAAGACAATTTTAAAATGTGATGGATACTAGACTGTTCGCACAGGAGTGAAGAGCCAGGCTGTGAAACAAACAAAATGTTCACATGGGGAGGGAAAGGGGGCATTAAAAATGAGAAGGAAAAATGTAAACACAGTGTGTATAATAGGCTGGGAATTTAGCTCAGTGGTGCAGCACCTGCCTGGAAGATGTGAGGTGCTGAGTTCAATTCCTGGTGCCCAAGCAAAATGAAATATGATTTGTAAATAAGAAGGGGAAGAGGGGTTGAAGACGGGAAGAGAATGGGGAAAAAATCGAGTTTTATCATGTACAGGTACCAAATCCCTATGATTAATGTGATCATTATGCATATCTAAAATGTACCAATAAAATCTGACTTAAAAAGAGTGAAGGACAGATAAACTAGAAAGGACACACTAACTTAGTAATAAAAGCTAAAGCAATAAGGCACCATTTCTCACTGCTTAGATTGTCCCCCCTAGAGAGGTGCAGATACCCCAGGGGCAGATACTTTACATGCTTTTGTATATAGAAACATTTTGTCATTTTCTAACATTATCCTCTGTACCAGTTGAAAGTCTTTAATGAGTATATGTTATTTTTATAGTCACACACACACACACACACACACACACCCCTTTCTTTGGGGAGCCAGGCTGGGAGCATGGTCTCTGCAGTAAATGACCCCCATCCTGTGACTCCCTCAGGCCTGGACAAATCCCCCACCCCTGGGGTCTTTCTCTGCTTACCTGTCATATCCCACCCAGCCTTCTGAGGCCAAGGAAAGGTGACTCACTGTGTGTGGCAGGTACAAAGGGAAATCTGTGCCAGCGGAAGATGCCCCTTGGCATCAGTGTGGCCCTCACCTTCCCGTCTGCTGTGATGGCCTCCTATTACCTGCTGCTGCAGACCTACGTGCTCCGCCTGGAAGCCATCATGAACGGCATCCTGCTCTGCTTCTGTGGCTCAGAGCTGCTGCTGGAGGTGCTCACCCTCGCCGCTTTCTCCAGGTCTGGGCTCTGGGCTTGAACCTGGGCCTCTGCAAGGGGATGCCCTGCTTTGGGAGGGTGGGCTGCATGCCTGCCTCTCCTGTTCCCGGCGGTGGAATGTTCCTTGTGGGAAAGATACTCTTCTGAGTCTTGGGGACCCAGACTAGGAGCATGAACTGTTTGGGTCCCCTGCTCGCCCATCTTTAACTCTTCTTTTCTTTTCACCATCAGTATGGACAAGATTTGAGGTGCAAACATTGCAGCCCGTGGCCCGTCAGGCCGACACACACTGCAGCACTTCAGCCCCAGCCCTGAAAAGCGGTGGGTGTGTCGTATTGCCCGGAAAAGGTCATACAGCTTTTTGTCAGCACCGACACCCAGGAAGCCTGCTGGATGACCAGTGGGCGCCCTCAGCCAGGAGACTACTCCACGGCGGGAGGGGCAGGCTAGCCCCATCCTGGCCTTTGTCCGACAGTTCCTGGCCATCTTCAAGTCCTCTTTGACCGCCTTGGTTGGAGCATCTTGTGTGGATCACTGAGGCTCCTGGACATGCCGTGCCACACCTGGTTGTCCCTCACACACCCAGAGACATTAGGGTGGTGCTGGGGGGCCGTGACAGGTGCCTCACTAGGCCTCCAGGACCTCTATAGTAGCACATAGTGTTATTTTTCTACTTTGATCATGAAGCAAGCCTTTATAATAAATACGTATTTTCCATTGTGGAGTGGCAGCTTTTTCCTTACAACCCTAGAATCTCATTCCCTTGGGGAGGGCAGACTGTCCCCAGGAAGGTCCCCCTGGTCTGCCTTCCTGACTGCAGCCTGCCAAGTCCCAGGAGGCACCCGGCCGGTCTACTTTTGGTTTTGGTTGAGACAGGATTTCACTGTGCGATCCAGGTGGGCCCAACCTGCCGAGATGCTCACGCCTCAGCTGCCTGAGTGTTGGAGCCAGAGGCACACCGCCACGCCTGCCTCGGAGCCTGTCTCTTGAGCTCACCTGCGAGTCTGCTCCAGCTCCACGCTGGTGCCTCATCTCTTGCTGCTCTTGGCTTCCTTTGCAGGGAGGGCCAAGTGCAGTCAGAATAATCCTGTTCTCAACTAGGAGAAGGTGTGGTTTGTCTCAGGATAGAACTCAGGCCCTACTGCATGCTAGGCTACATTCCTGGTCTCCGTGTAAAGCTCTGGAAGTAAAAGGGGTACTTTCCAAGCTGGAGGATGGTATCTGGTTGGGTATGTCCTTTCCCCCTCAGTAGCCATCTTTCCAACTGTTCTGCACTGTGGCCTTGGGCATGGCCTTCTGCCCCAAGAGGCCACCAGGAGCCCTAAACAAGCATCCAGTTAGCCTGAGGCCCCACTGCCCGATGACAGATGACTCCTGGCTCTTCCTCCCTCAGCTCCTTCTGAGCTGGTTTTCATTTTTATCCTGTGGCCGCCACTACCCAAAGCATGATGCCCTCTCATTTCCTGCTGCTCTGGGCCTTGTGGCCTTGACTCCTGATGGGAGACAAGGGTCTACCCAAAGCTAGAATGGGCAGGTCCAGTCAACCAAGAAATAGAAACCAGAAAGTCCAGGAAGAATGTCCCCAATTCTTCCCAACTGCATACCCCATGCATATCAATTATCTGTGCCTCTCACACTGTGGCTTTGATGGTTAGAACTGTGGTGAGGGCATCGCTGGCACCAGACCAGAGGGGAACCAATTCCCTGCAACCCAATCTCATGTAGGGGTTCAGGGACAAAGGCCACCCTCTCAGCTGCACGGATGAACGAGAGCATGACAAGTGCACAGGTGGCTTATAAAAAGTAAGTGTGCGCATTCAGAGAGGTAGCAGAGACCACACAGGCCTGCGCCCCATTTGTGCAGACTTAGTACAGAAGGAACGCAACGCACAGCTAGGTACTGACTGGTGCAGTTCCCAGCTCATGGCGTGTCGGAATGCAGGAAATCCCTTAACAGGCTCCCGGTTTTCTCACTGGGAGGATCTGAGTAAGAAGGCTGTGGAAAGCTCATGTTTGCTCTCCCCAAGTTGCCAGGACACTGCAGCTGACCGTGCTGCCCAGTGGAAACCGAGGCAGCTGTGGAGGATGGGGAGTCTTTCAGGGGCTGCGTGTGTTGGAATGCCTCTATACAGACCAGACACAGAGGCACCGACATCAGCTGGCAGAGGCCTTTCTGCAGCTGCACATGCGGCCAAATCAGGAGTGTCCACAGTGGCATCTCAGCGGGGACCATCCAGGTCCAAGGTGTTCAGCTCATGAACAGAAGCAGGATCTGACAGATGACTACAGGTCTCTTCTTCCCTGACCCGCTGCTGACCTGAGGAAAACTAAATGTAATCACACCTGGACATTCTCACGCCCACATCTCCAAAAAACTAATCTGGGGCCCCACAAGCAGGTGCCAGCCAAGGCCACTGATGGCACAGAGCCTGAACTGGGACTAGGAGGGATGACAGGCAGCGATGGCAGGGCACAGGCCCTTCCATCTCACACAAGCCTCACCCTGCAGGAAAAGGCTGACCTCCCAAGGGACCTCCTCCTCGGGCTGGAGCCCTGCACTCCCTTCTGAAGGTTCGCTCTCACTGACGCAGCTTTCGCTTCCCCTGCTCCCTAGGTCACCTTTTCTCATTAAACATTCCCTTCACAGCTCACCTTTGGTTTAAAATAAATGATTTAGTGGGCCAGGGGTGTGGCCCAATGGAAGAATTTGTCTTGCCTTGAATGCACAAGGGCCTGGGTTCAACCCCTAGCACTACACACACACACACACACACACACACACACACACACACACACACAAACTTGTTAAGAGTCACTCTGGCGTCTTGGGTAGCGGCTGCAGGGACAGCAAGATGTGGCATCCCAGTTCATGACCTCATCACGGAACCATCCCTGACTGCTGAGCGCAGATCTCCACTGGGACTGCTTTGGGGACCAGCCTCACCACAGGAACACATGCTGGTCCCCAGCTCCAAGCTGTGTCAACAGCACATTTGAGACTAGACTTCTCTGGCTGCAGGCCTCGGGCTCTGTCCTGCCACCTCCACTCACCTGGCCGTAACAATCTGCATTTTGTGGAAACCCGAGATTAGCCCGTGGCATTTCCACCAAGCTTTCGAAAGCACACCTATTCCAGCGGCATCGCAAGTCCCAAGACATTCGCTCTCTCCAGCCCGCACAGCATGCCTGTGTGGAGGCGGCCAGCTGCTCATCTTCCGGGGGAGACGTGGGGCCACACTGCATGTCCCCGACTCAGAGCCAGGAAGCCAGCCGCAGCCAGCGGGTCTCTTACAGGGAAGTCTTTCCTTCCCAACACCTCACTGTTAGAACCCAGACTGTACAACAAGTCTCAGCTCCTGAAGGGTAAAGGATGACTCAAAAGTGTTAAGCAGGGTGTTCTGGGGATCAAGGCAAAGGCTACCCTTCAGAGGGGCCTCCTCCAGCTAGAGAGCCCTTGCCCAGCACAATTCCTGCTAGGAACTTGGGGTTCACTACCATCCCACAGCATCTACATCAGCCCCGCCCATGGCCCAGACACCTCAACAAATCTATTCAATGCAGAATCCATACAACAGCACACACCCCATTTATTATTTCAAAATATTTTGTTACAAAAGGAAAAAAATACAATGCAGTATAAAAGATTGACAGCGTCATCAAGTTTATTACACAATTTTCAACCTATCAGAAAGACAAATCACCGACAAAGGGGGGGGGGGCCTTGGCCTTTTTAGGGTCGGGGTTCTTTTCCTTTTGCTATCAGGAAGTAAAACTAAAAATTGTGTCATTGAGTAAAAACAAAAATGGGGAGAAAATAATTCTCCAGGTGAACGGCTTTTGTGATATTCTATATATTGTTTCCTTAGACTCACTTACTTGGTTTTCTCTACGTTTAAAAAGACACACGGAGCTGCTGTCAAGAATAAGCACGTCACTCACCACCACCGGGCCAGCGGGGCCGGGCGCCGCGCTCTGAGGCGCCGGGGACGACTGGGACGGGGTCAAGGCTGTGGCTGTGGCCGACATGTCCCAGGGGCATGTGCCTCTCCCCCCGGGGCTCCCCAGTGACTGAGGGGTGTTTCAGAAACGTGCTGGGGACAGAGGAAGGGTTAAGTCTAACTCAGTCTCTCCCCTGAGCCAGACAGGCCTGTGACCCTGGGCCTCAGCCTCATCTGGTCACTCGCTCCGTGTCCTGTGCCGAGGACACATGCAGTCGCCTCACCCTGGGTACTACCGGACCCTGCTGCTGTCACCTTGTGCGGCAACCACAGGACAACTTGGGTGGTTGGGGAAAAGCAATTCTACCTGCCCAGCCCCAAGCACTGGTCCTGAGGACTCTGGGCAGTTTGGCTTAGTCAGGTTCCATCGCTTCTGCACTCCTCGCCAGGGACAAGAAGGGACAGAGTGGAGCTCGGGAGTCAAGTTAAAGGTGAAGGGACACCAAACCTGACTTCACTGCCTGATAGTGCCGGTCATCCCACGACACATACAAGGATGTACTTGGGGTCACAAGTCTGCGCTTGGGTTAGCCCGAGAAAGGGAGACCTGGGGAGGTGGCCAGACCCACCCAGGCTGCCTCTTCCCTGCCCCCCGGTACTTGGCTAGGCTTCTTTGCTGTTGAGGTCCAGAGAACCCTGTCCCCCAGCGGCAGTAACTTCCTCTAAAACAAGGAAGCAGCTTTCCTGGGGGAAGGGCACCATGCTCACATGACAAGCCCCAGGGAAAGGAACACGAGAGAGCTGGTTACCGTGAGAGGCAACCAAGCTCGAAGCGGCACAGGGCTTCCAGCAGAAGCAACTCCATGGCATTTCTGCTCAGGGACAGGACCAGAGGCGCTGGGCAGCAGGGAGCCAGAGAGATTCAGGGACACAAACCATCAAGATGCAAGGGAAAATCAGGACCAGAAGGAGGTCGTCACTAGGTAACATCTGTTCTCCTGGTCCCTTCTCAAAGGGTGGGGAAGGGAAAGACATTAACAAAAAACATAAGCAAGGGCTTGGGCCCTCTTGGCCCCATCAAACCTAGTGCTAAGGACAAGGCCCTGCATATTTTGGCACAGCCGTCACCTCCGAGATCTGCAAGGAGGACCTGTTTCCTTAGGAAGGAGGCCTTTTCACCAACATCACCACTGCCTGCTCCTGGACTCAGAAACAGGCAGGCTTCCTCAGACAAAGCACCATTCTCTGAGGACCAGGGCCCCAGCATGGAGCCAACTTCCTGTCTGCCACCCTCCCAGCTACACGGACTTAGGTTCCTCCCCTGGCAGACAGGAAGCACAGGGCTGGGAGGGCTGCCAAGCATCTTCAAACCTGTGGGGCAGAGGGAGTCCCTGGGTGTCAGGAGGACTAGGGGAGTGGAGGAAGGGGGAGCGGAGCGGCCTCCGTCCTTCAGTCCTGATCACGTTGGAGATGCGAGTCCGTTAAAAACATTTGCTTCCAACCAGACTCCTGCAATGAGAACATTGGGAAGGAGAAAGAGAACAGAGGTTACTTTCTGACGGGGCCACATAAACACACCAGCCATCTCCGCAGGAGGGGGCAGAGAGCGGGTTCACGGGGCAGTGGAGCCTGAGCAGAGGTAAGAGAGGCTGGGGGGTAGAGGCAGGCACAGCTGCCAGTACAGATGGGGGCCACAGACAGTGAGGCCTCAGAAAGCAGCCTGGAACAGCGCTGTAAAGCTGCTACAAGGGAGCACGGTAAATTTACCATGTGGGAAAATCTGAGGAGCCACAGCTTACCTTAAAGGGAACAAAAACATCTGGAAAAGGGAGGCGAGGTGGTACACCATAGCCGGCCCCATCAGCCCTAAACCACCAAGAGGCTACGCAGGGAGCGTGCACTCCCACGGGAAACGCCTGTCTTCTCCTTCGCTATGTTTTATGTTGAGACAAGTTCTTGTTAAGCCATGAAGGGGCCGGGCTGGGCTCACATCTGTCATTCTCCTGCCTCAGCATCCCAGACTGCTGGGACCACAGGTGCTCGCACTGCGCCGGGCGGCTCCTTGTCTTCTTTTCATCAGCCCTCATTACACCATTCTTAACAGTGCTCTGTGCACAAGAGCAGCAGCACACAGACCAGAGCTGCTCCAAACCTCTCCCAGATGACACCTGTGGGTCAAACGCCCAGTATAGGAACCACCATGCAGGAAGCACCTGACCAGGCAAACACAGGGAGTAGAGCACAGTCTAAAAGCTGCCTGCCATGGAGGCACACACCTGTAACCCCAGCACTCTGAGAGGCTGAGGCAGGACCACCTCAAGTTTGGGCACAACCCAGGCAACTTACCAATACTCTGTCTCAAAAACTGTTTAAAAAGGACTAGGGCTGTTGCTCTGTGCTAAGGTCATAGACTCAATCCCCAATACTGCAATAAAAAGGTGCAGAAAGGAAACCAGAAAGCACGGTTAGGAACCATTATCACTAGCAAGAGCTGGCTACGCCACTTGTCACCTCACCAAGCTCAGGCTCCTTGGCACACACCCAGCAGGTGGTGGTGTGGGCAGGCTGACATGCAGATCTGAATTCTTAATTCCAACTTAGAATTTCAGAAGGGTTGCTTTCCCTCCGGGCTAGGCCTGTGCTCGCCTAGCATTTCTACTAGGTCCACACCAGCACACCAGCCTCCACACAAACACTCAGTCCTATGCACGCCTGCAGGGGCCACCTCAGGACACAAAGACGTCTACCCACTATGATCCACTGCGACCTTCTCACCCAGCACCAGCGCTGTTCCCAGCGTGGACCACAGGCTCTGAGCAGCCTCAGCCATGCCGGCTCCTCCGAACTCCTCCACAGGCCACGGTGCGTCTGGCTTTCCAGAGCACTGAAGCTCTAGTGCAGTCCCCCTCACACCTCCAGGCTCCCATCTCTGAACTAGGGGAACCCTGGACACAAAACTCAGCAGTCCTGGATCAGGGACAGGAACGAGGGGAGAATGACCATTTCCAGTAGGAAAACATCTTAAACTACAGAGACAGCTGACATAGCTGAGAACTGCAGGTTGGGCGAAGCAGCACTCGGAAGGCTGAGGCTGGAGGCCAACCTGGGAGAATAGTAAGCTCAATGCCAGCCTGCTACACAGTGAGACACTGTCTCAACAATTACCAAAACCAAAGCTGAACCCACAGATGAACCCTAAGAACTCCCTCACACTCCAAAGCACATACATACATACTGGAAGAGATGACTTAACATGGACTGCTGTCCCAAAACAGGACACAGGGCAACCCTGGCCTGCCGCAAGCACTCGGTTCTAAAAGGTCAGTGGCCACACTAATCTGTAGCATGTGAATGCAGACAGAAACCAAGTTCCTGTAGCAGATGCTCAGGCTCACAGCCCAAGCCAGGCCCTGAAGAAGGTGGGGGAGCAGAGCCCTCCCCGGCTGAGGAGCCGCTGTGCTTCACAATGCTCAGTACCATTCCTCCAACATGAGGACTGCAGAGCTATCTGTAAGGTTAGTGTTGCCCACGCTGCTCCACACACTCAGAACAGGCAGATGGCACGGGGGGATCCTACAAAAGGGACAGAAAGACAGTGACACTTTTGCAGTGTCTGCTTCAGTTCTTTTTTTTTTTTTTTTTTGCTCCTTACGCCTTCAGGGCAGCTTTGGCTGGCTTGAGTTGTGGGGATCGAACCACAGCAACCTGAGCCTGACTGCTTTGTCGAAGCAGCCACTTAAAGAGCTGAGCTACGGGGCAGGCCCCCTGCTTCAGTTCTTTTGGACTGAATTATTACGGATACTCCGTAAGTCAATAACTTTCTACTCCAATTTATGAACAATTCTCCTGGAACAGAACGTGTTTTAAGCCATAAGTAGGACACTTACTGTGTCCAGGGCAAGGCACCTTCCTAAGGGGCAGCCAGCAGCAGGGGCAGTGGGAAACCTGTCTCGGTCACCACTCCTTGTGTAGCCATGGTCTGAGCTAGGCACATGTGTCACAGGATTTCTCAAGTAGTGGGAGAAACAGTCCATCTCATAGGCGGGAAAAGGGAGCACAGTGCCAGCTCGGCAATCAACCCCACAGCACTGACAGAGGAGGGGCAGGTCCTGTGCACACTGGCCCCATGGGAAGGCTGGGGCAGAGTCAGAAGGCGCCGTGGCTCGGTGTCTTCTAACTGGCCACGGGGCTGTGGCCCTGGAGACTGGAAGTATTCATGCTCTGCACAGGCCAATTCTGACATCACCCTGGTCACCCTTAGCCCAGCAAGCTCCAAAAGACACACAGCACGACTGGCACGACAAACAAGGGGGCAGCGGCAGCGCCAGCTCCAATGAGAGGAGGAAACGTTGATGCTGACACAAGGAGGTGACAAACTAGGACCACTCCTGCCACTCCAAAACCCAGCCACGCTGTCTGGACTTCAGGGTTGCCACACAGGCTAGAACTGAGCAGAATATGGGAGGGGCTGGAAAACAGGGATTCAGATGAAAACAGGTGCCACTTTCTCTCCTGCTACTTACTTGCAACACGCTATGAAAGAAAATGAAAACAATTCCTAGCAATGAATCTGTTTAAGTCAATGGCGAGTAAAGCCAAACAACAAAGCAAGGGCAGCAGCATTATCTGCAGGAGGAATTTCTTGTTTTCAGGAGGCTGTCACCCTGAAAGACGCTGCAGGAGTCTACTGTAGCCAGCTCTTGCTCACCAACTACAGGGACCCATAAAAACAGTAAAAAGACCCCATTCTCCCTGCCTTTTCTTCTTGGGTGATAGGGACCAAATCAAAGGGGACTCTATCATGCGGCTTTGCCTAGCTTTGTTTTTATTCCGAGACAGGGTCTCATTGGGTGGGACCTGAATTTGTGATCCTCCTCCCTCAGCCTTCCAGAGTACTGGACTTACAGGTGTGCGTCATCACCCCCACCCCCAGTCATCCACCTATCCATCCATCCCAAAGACACCAAGCAGAACTCCCTTTTCTTACCACCCTCAACTACCATTATGACTCTGAAGAGTCAGGCAAGTAAAAGATACCTACACTATCTTCATAATGGACACGATGTGAAACAAAGTGGGAAGTTCCGGACACTTGCGAGCCCAAAACCACACAATAGAGAAACGCCCTAGAGGTCATCAGGGTCACACACTAGCTCCCAGGATCCTCCTGGCCTGAGTCTGTCCCATTCCGCAGATCTCCACAGAAACGGCAGGGGTCCCTTCCAAACCACAAGCTACTCTCAATGGCAGCGTTCCCGCAGGCTCTTGGAGTGGCACCCACAGCCAAGGCCTCCAAGTCTTTATGAAGATGAAAACCAAGACATGAAGAGCTGCAGGAGGCAGAAATGAAGTTCCAGGGATGCAGCTGGGGCTGGAACCCTGGAACCAGACAACCCTCAGGGAACCCATCAGCTACCTAAGCTAATAGGTCCTCCATCCCTTGCTTTTGTCTTTTTTTTTTTTAATTTATTTTTTAATTTTTTTTTATTTTTTACATTTATTTGTGTGTGTGTGTGTGTGTGTGTGTGGCCAGCTCAGCCCACCAGGGGGCGGGGCTGGCTGGCATGTGGTGCTGGGGGATCGAACTGCGGTCCCTATGCTTTGCCAAGTTCGTTCCAAGTAGGTGCTTTAGACCACTGAGCCATCTCTCCAGCCCCTTGCTTTTGTCTTAAAACTCAGCAACAAAAAAAAAAACCTTACTGAAAACCAAAATATTCTTTGGGTAAAGTTACTTATCCTCCACAGTTTTTAAAGTCATGGTTTTTTTTTGTTGTTTTTTTGGAGATAGGGTTTCCCTATGTTGTAGCCCAGGCTGGCCTCAAACTTTTAAGGATCTTCCTGCCTCAGCCTGTCAAGTACAGGGATTACATGGGTGCAAAACCATGCCCAGCTCAAAACTATAATTATTTTCAGGTCAGTTATCTCCTCTAAAATCCCAATTTTTTAAAAAAATTTTATTTATGTGTGTGTGTGTGTGGCCAGCTCAGCCCACCGGGGGCGGGGCTGGCTGGCATGTGGTGCTGGGGGATTGACTGTGCTTTGCTAAGCTTGTTCTAAGTAGGTGCTTTAGATCACTGAGCCATCTCACCAGCCCCTAAAATCCCAATTTTTAAATCTTTTAAAACATATAACTCTTAAAATCATTAACATGCTTTGAAAGCTAAGCTGTAGTAATCTCACTTTTCTACCTTGGTCAATTTTTCCTTATTTCTCCTTTTGAGACAGGTCTACCTGTGCAGTCCAGGGCTGGCCTTGAATTTCAGTTACCTCTATGACAGGCAGACCAATTCAATGCTCCATGTGGACGAGCTCAGGGATGCGCAAAAAGCCGTAGAGGCAAAAAAAAAAAAAAAAAAAGATGCCGGGGAGATGGCTCAGTGGAATAAGTGCTTCCCTGGTAAGCGCAAGGGCCTGAGTTCAATCCCCGGTTCCACAAAAAACAAAAACAAAAACAGAAAAACAGAAAAAGCCACAGAGGCCGTGCTTCCATGATACTTGGGCACAGAGGAGGAGGAGGCCAAGATCAGAAAGCAGCCCATCGATCCCCGGGCCTGCTGTGCCAGCCCCACCCCAGGGTGCACTGAGACAGCAACTGAGACTGGGCGAGGTGGTGTGGGCCTGTAATCCCAGCTCTTGGGAGGCTGTAAACAAGTGGATCACTATGAGGCTGGTCTTGTAGTGAGACCCTGAATACCTTGTAGACCCTTCCCTAAAAAATAAAATAAAATAAAATAAAATAA